GTAATAATTCATATTAGGAATTCCAATAAAGCCACTTAATATGAAATATTCAGGACGCACAAAAGTGATGTTTTTTCCAAGAGCTGAGTTGAAGAAGTCCATTATGAAAAACCTCTCAAACCTACGCTGTTCGAAGCACAGTCTTTAATGCAGAGAACAGAACTGTGCGTCAGCACTGTGTTCTGTTGGACAGAGGTGAGCTCTTCTCTCAGCTCTCTTTCAGACGATGAAGCTCTGATGAGCGTTAGCTATTTTGCAATCCCTAACATTGTTTGTGTCAAATGGAAGGTCTGTTCCCTTGAGTCTCTTGTACGCAAGCACCAGAAAAAAATACATCTTTAGTCCAATGAACTTCTTGCACTTAGGAAGTCTACTGACAGAAATATCCAATGCAGCTATCTAGTCGAAGCCTGCGGAGCAGGAGTGTTAAACTCAATTTGCTAAGGGACACACTGAGAAAATAAAATCACATCAAGAGCCAGACATAAACAGTTCATTTACAAGCCGTTTTTTATTTTAGTTTTTTATTATAAAATGTCAACATATTTGATAAGATTGTGAATGTCACATCAGCCTTTGACATTCACTTTGGTCCAAATAAAGCACAAAAAAGTCAATTCAAAAGTTGTGCATAGCCATCATAGCATTTCCTGAAGCTTAATAATTAGTTCTGACAACATGATAAGCAGGCTAACAAGCAGCAAACAAGGCCATGGTCCTTCTCTCTTTACTTTCCCATTTACCTACTTTGACTTTAGCATTTAACCAAAGTCCATTTATTCCGACCAAGGGCATTAATTGACACACCACATTCCCGACTGAAATTTAAAGCATGTAGATTTGTTGCAGCCGCTTCACAATAAAGTTATTCAGTTAAAGTCAGTATGTACCTGAAAAACCTGAAGGGTTTAATGTCATTAGTGTAGAGTTAGAAAACACAGATTGATTCAGAAAAGAGAAGCGGACCAAGAGACAAAATATGTCTTGTTACTTTTTAAATATGAGGTATCCATCGACAAACATGAAGAAGCAGAACAAGGATCATTTGATTGCAAAACAAATATTTTATAGTCACTGATTTTTATGAATTTTAAATCAGTTTATTTGTATGCTTTTGATTATGCTGTAAAAGACTACATTGAAGACACAATTAGTTTTCTAATATACAGTAGAGTCCTTCAAGACAACATGCACAGAGACACACACTTTGATCACAATAATGTGTTTCAAGAATATCTTCCTACTACACAAACACAGATAAAACAAATAGCAGAGAACTCTCATTGTAGGTGTGTTATACCTGACACACTGTATTTCTAATGTTTACTGTTTTGTGCTGTCTATTAGTTAGTTTATTAATTTAAAGCTCAATGATTATAATGTAATTTCTATGAAATAACTTGTGATTAATTAAATGTTAAAATATGTACGGGATGTTAAAAAAAATTATAAAATTAACCTAACCGCATTAAAACAAGGTCCAAAATAAGTACACAAATAATCATTTCATGATTTCTCTCTTCACTGTAATTTGGGATTTCTTTCTAAATTTCAATATTTTTTTCATAGATTCTTTGATTTCTTGCGTCTGCAAAACATAAATGATTGGATTCAGCATTGGAGGAAAGACAGAGGTCAGAGACAGGTTTAGAATCCTGGCATTTGGAGGTATTTGTGAACCCAAAGTAAATGTGACTAATATTGGGACGAAATAGATTACCACCAACGAAAGATGAGCTGTGCAGGTTTTAAAGGCCTTCACTCTTTCATGAACTGTGGCAACTTTAGACAATGCATAGCCGATACATGAATAAGTAAACAGAATAAATGTGAGTGGAAGCCAAAGAATTAAAACTATTAAAAACAGAGTAATGACATCGTTAGGTTTATTGTCATTGCAGGCCATCCGATATATCTGGCCGTGGTCACAGAAATAGCTGTTAATAACCACAGACTTACAGAAGGAAAGTCTTGTTAGAAGGCCCACTGCAATAAGTATAACAGTAATAACAAAGACCCAGAAACAGGCAATCAAAGACAGCATGAACCTGTGGGTCACCTTCACTTGGTAGTGCAGTGGGTAGATGATAGCTATCAGTCTGTCATACGAGAGTGCAACTAGATTAAGAACCTGCATTGAAAGGCACGTGTAGCAGAAAAAAAGAAATGCCAAGCAGTCAGCGTAGGGGATGTACTGATGGTTAAACAGAAAGATATCAAGAACCTTTGGCACCAAAGCAGAGCTACCACACAGGTCCACAAATGCTAAATTAAAAACTACAATATATTTTGGAGTTCTCAGCCTATGGTCCAAGTATATTATGGCCATCACAGCTGTGTTTCCCAACACTGAAACAATGTAAACAAAAAAGAGGAATACATAGTAATAATTGATATTAGGAATGCCAATAAATCCACTTATTATGAAATATTCAGGACGCACAAAAGTGATGTTTTTTCCAAGAGCTGAGTTGAAGAAGTCCATTATGAAAAACCTCTCAAACCTACGCTGTCTGAAGCACAGTCTTTAATGCAGAGAACAGAACTGTGCGTCAGCACTGTGTTCTGTTGGACAGAGGTGAGCTCTTCTCTCTCGCTCTCTCTTCGACGATGAAGCTTTAATGAGCGTTAGCTATTTTGCAATCCCTAACATTGTTTGTGTCAAATGGAAGGTCTGTTCCCTTGAGTCTCTTGTACACAAGCACCAGAAAAAAATACATCTTTAGTCCAATGAACTTCCTGCACTTAGGAAGTCTACTGACAGGAATATCCAATGCAGCTATCTAGTCGAAGCCTGCGGAGCAGGAGTGTTAAACTCAATTTGCTAAGGGACACACTGAGAAAATAAAATCACATCAAGAGCCAGAAATAAACAGTTGATTTAAAAGCCGTTTTATTTTTGTATTTAAAAATGTCAACATATTTGATAATATTGTAAATGTCACATCAGCCTTTGACATTCACTTTGGTCCAAATAAAGCACAAAAAAAGTCAATTCAAAAGTTGTGCATAGCCATCATAGCATTTCCTGAAGCTTAAAGGGCCCATGTCATGCTTTTCCGGTTATTACCCGTCCCCTTGTGTGTTATGAAGGTTTGTATGCATGTAAACGGTGTGCAGAGTCACAAACCCTCAAAGTACACCCTGTAGCGAGTAAACCTCTAACACAAAAAATACCTCCCCAAAACGCCTCGTTGGAGATACGTCATTGTCCATTTGATTCTTCCATTTCGTTCCGGGTACGGCATGATGTCAAGCCGTACCCGGAACGAAATGGACCAATCCGTGGAGCCGTTACGTTACGTCCGCGGAGCCGTTACGTTAAGCCCCCGCTGATTGGTCCAAATTGACCAATCCACGGACTTCCTCACACACACATCTGTGTGCAGGGAGCAGGGAGCTCTGCTGATTTCTCCTCCCTGGCTGCAGGCTGATAACAGACAGTTGGGATCGTGGCGAAATTCTCTCTGCAGACCCATTCTCACAGCGTTTATCAACCTTTTTCTTACTCAATATCAAGCCACACTTATTGTTTTTACTTCGGCTGTGACTTTGTGTGTGCTCAGGATGAGTTTGGCTGTGTTTGGCTGTGTATCGCTAACAAGGAAACAACACCTCCACGGAGCTCAGCGTGATTCACAACGTCCCGACCAATCAGAGCACACTGTGCTCACAGGGAGGGTGGGGGCTGGAGCTATTGGAGCTACAACGAGCCGTTAAAGGCAGAGAGTGAAATTCAGTGAATACACGTAGTTTACAGAGATGCTGTATGAGAAACCAATGTGAGTTTGGAAAATTGCACAATATAAATCTATTCTAGTAGACCTCAACAATGGAATTATGATCAGTGGAAATGGCCATGACATGTGCCCTTTAATAATTAGTTCTGACAACATGATACAAGCAGGCTAACAAGCAGCAGACAAGGCCATGGTCTTTCTCTCTTTACTTTCCGATTTAGCGACTTTTGAATTTAACCAAAGTCCATTTATTCCTACCAAGGACATTCATTAAAAAACAAAATTAACATGGATAAGTAATACGTGAATTTCTGGGGAATTATTTACTGCCACGTATTCATTTGGTCCCCAATCTAGAACACCTTCTACGGACACGTCACATTCCCGACTGAAATTGAAAGCATTATAGTTTCTTTATATATTCATACGTTTTTTTATTTTTTTAAATCCACACAAACCACTCGTCATATCGGTCTAAACTACATCCATCCTTGATGATAACTTTACTCAGGATAAACATTTGGGCACATTTGGGTTGTTCATCTTACAAAATGTTTAAATTCAAGAAATCCCGTTCTAGATTCTACATTTTTTGCAGCTGCTTCACAATAAAGTTATTCAGTTAAAGTCAGTATGTACCTGAAAAACCTGAAGGGTTTCATGTCATTAGTGTAGAGTTAGAAAACATAGATTGATTCAGAAAAGAGAAGCGGACCAAGAGACAAAATATGTCTTGTTACTTTTTAAATATGAGGTATCCATCGACAAACATGAAGAAGCAGAACAAGGATACATCATTTGATTGCAAAAAAAAAGCTTTTATAGTCACTGATTTTTATGAATACTAAATTGGTTTATTTGTATGCTTTTGATTATGCTGTAAAAGACTACATTGAAGACACAATTTGTTTTATAATATACAGTAGAATCCTTCAAGACAACATGCACAGAGACACACACTTTGATCACAATAATGTGTTCCCAGAATATCCTCCTAATACACAAACACAGATAAAACAAATAGCAGAGAACTCTCATTGTACAGTAGGTGTGTTATACCTGACACACTGTATTTCTAATGTTTACTGTTTTGTGCTGTCTATTAGTTAGTTAATTAATTTAAAGCTCAATGATTATAATGTAATTTCTATGAAATAACTTGTGATTAATTAAATTTTAAAATATGTATGGGATGTTAAAGAAATTAATCAAATTAACCTAACGGCATTAAAACAAGGTCCAAATTAAATACACAAATAATCATTTCATGATTTCTCTCTTCACTGTAATTTGGGATTTCTTTCTAAATTTCAATATTTTTTTCATAGATTCTTTGATTTCTTGCGTCTGCAAAACATAAATGATTGGGTTCAGCATTGGAGGAAAGACAGAGGTCAGAGACAGGTTTAGGATCCTGGCATTTGGAGGTATTTGTGAACCCAAAGTAAATGTGACTAATATTGGGACGAAATAGATTACCACCAACGAAAGATGAGCTGTGCAGGTTTTAAAGGCCTTCACTCTTTCATGAACTGTGGCAACTTTAGACAATGCATAGCCGATACATGAATAAGTAAACAGAATAAATGTGAATGGAAGCCAAAAAATTAGAACTACTAAAAACCAACTAAAGTAATCAGTAGGTTTATAGTCATTGCAGGCCATCCGATATATCTGGCCGTGGTCACAGAAATAGCTGTTAATAACCACAGACTTACAGAAGGAAAGTCTTGTTAGAAGGCCGACGACAATAAGATCAACAGTAATAACAAAGACCCAGAAACAGGCAATCAAAGACAGCATGAACCTGTGGGTCACCTTCACTTGGTAGTGCAGTGGGTAGATGATAGCTATCAGTCTGTCATACGAGAGTCCAACTAGATTAAGAACCTGCATTGAAAGGCACGTGTAGCAGAAAAAAAGAAATGCCAAGCAGTCAGCGTAGAGGATGTACTGATGGTTAAACAGAAAGATATCAAGAACCTTTGGCACCAAAGCAGAGCTACCACACAGGTCCACAAATGCTAAATTAAAAACTACAATATATTTTGGAGTTCTCAGATTATGGTCCAAGTATATTATGGCCATCACAGCGGTGTTTCCCAACACTGAAACAATGTAAACAAAAAAGAGGAATACATAGTAATAATTGATATTAGGAATTCCAATAAAGCCACTTATTATGAAATATTCAGGACGCACAAAAGTGATGTTTTTTCCAAGAGCTGAGTTGAAGAAGTCCATTATGAAAAACCTCTCAAACCTACGCTGTCCGAAGCACAGTCTTTAATGCAGAGAACAGAACTGTGCGTCAGCACTGTGTTCTGTTGGACAGAGGTGAGCTCTTCTCTCAGCTCTCTTTCAGACGATGAAGCTCTGATGAGCGTTAGCTATTTTGCAATCCCTAACATTGTTTGTGTCAAATGGAAGGTCTGTTCCCTTGAGTCTCTTGTACGCAAGCACCAGAAAAAAATACATCTTTAGTCCAATGAACTTCTTGCACTTAGGAAGTCTACTGACAGAAATATCCAATGCAGCTATCTAGTCGAAGCCTGCGGAGCAGGAGTGTTAAACTCAATTTGCTAAGGGACACACTGAGAAAATAAAATCACATCAAGAGCCAGACATAAACAGTTCATTTACAAGCCGTTTTTTATTTTAGTTTTTTATTATAAAATGTCAACATATTTGATAAGATTGTGAATGTCACATCAGCCTTTGACATTCACTTTGGTCCAAATAAAGCACAAAAAAAGTCAATTCAAAAGTTGTGCATAGCCATCATAGCATTTCCTGAAGCTTAATAATTAGTTCTGACAACATGATAAGCAGACTAACAAGCAGCAAACAAGGCCATGGTCCTTCTCTCTTTACTTTCCCATTTACCTACTTTGACTTTAGCATTTAACCAAAGTCCATTTATTCCGACCAAGGGCATTAATTGACACACCACATTCCCCACTGAAATTTAAAGCATGTAGATTTGTTGCAGCCGCTTCACAATAAAGTTATTCCGTTAAAGTCAGTATGTACCTGAAAAACCTGAAGGGTTTAATGTCATTAGTGTAGAGTTAGAAAACACAGATTGATTCAGAAAAGAGAAGCGGACCAAGAGACAAAATATGTCTTGTTACTTTTTAAATATGAGGTATCCATCTACAAACATGAAGAAGCAGAACAAGGATACATCATTTGATTGCAAAACAAATATTTTATAGTCACTGATTTTTATAAATTTTAAATCAGTTTATTTGTATGCTTTTGATTATGCTGTAAAAGACTAAATTGAAGACACAATTAGTTTTCTAATATACAGTAGAGTCCTTCAAGACAACATGCACAGAGACACACACTTTGATCACAATAATGTGTTCCCAGAATATCTTCCTTATACACAAGCACAGATCAAACAAATAGCAGAACACTCTCATTGTAGGTGTGTTATACCTGACACACTGTATTTCTGATGTTTACTGTTTTGTGCTGTCTATTAGTTAGTTTATGTATTTAAAGCTCAATTATTATAATTGATTTTTTATGGAATAACTTGTGTTGAATTAAATGTTCAAATGTGTGCAGATGTTAACAAAAAAAATCAAAGTTAACCTGATGGCATTAAAACAATGTCCAAATTAACTACACAAATAATCATTTCATGATTTCTCTCTTCACTGTAATTTGGGATTTATTTCTAAATTTCAATATTTTTTTCAGAGATTCTTTGATTTCTTGTGTCTGCAAAACATAAATGATTGGGTTCAGCATTGGAGGAAAGACAGAGGTCAGAGACAGGTTTAGAATCCTGGCATTCGGAGATATTTTTGAACCCAAAGTAAATGTGACTAATATTGGAATGAAATAAATAATCACTAACGAAAGATGAGCTGTGCAGGTTTTGAAGGCCTTCACTCTTTCATGAACTGTGGCAACTTTAGACAATGCATAGCCGATACATGAATAACTAAACAGAATAAATGTGAGTGGAAGCCAAAGAATTAGAAATATTAAAAACACACTAATGATGCTGTTAGGTTTATTGTCATTGCAGGCCATCCGATGTATCTGGCCGTGGTCACAGAAATAGCTGTTAATAACCACAGACTTACAGAAGGAAAGTCTTGTTAGAAGGCCCACTGCAATAAGTATAACAGTAATAACAAAGACCCAGAAACAGGCAATCAAAGACAGCATGAACCTGTGGGTCACCTTCACTTGGTAGTGCAGTGGGTAGATGAAAGCTATCAGTCTGTCATACGAGAGTGCAACTAGATTAAGAACCTGCATTGAAAGGCACGTGTAGCAGAAAAAAAGAAATGCCAAGCAGTCAGCGTAGGGGATGTACTGATGGTTAAACAGAAAGATATCAAGAACCTTTGGCACCAAAGCAGAGCTACCACACAGGTCCACAAATGCTAAATTAAAAACTACAATATATTTTGGAGTTCTCAGCCTATGGTCCAAGTATATTATGGCCATCACAGCTGTGTTTCCCAACACTGAAACAATGTAAACAAAAAAGAGGAATACATAGTAATAATTGATATTAGGAATTCCAATAAATCCACTTATTATGAAATATTCAGGACGCATAAAAGTGATGTTTTTTCCAAGAGCTGAGTTGAAGAAGTCCATTACGAAAAAACCTCTCAAACCTACGCTGTCCGAAGCACAGTCTTTAATGCAGAGAACAGAACTGTGCGTCAGCACTGTGTTCTGTTGGACAGAGGTGAGCTCTTCTCTCTGCTCTCTTTCCGACGATGAAGCTTTAACGAGCGTCAGCTATTTTGCAATCCCTAACATTGTTTATGTCAAATGGAAGGTCCGTTCCCTTGAGTCTCTTGTACGCAAGCACCAGAACAAAATACATCTTTAGTCCAATGAACTTCTTGCACTTAGGAAGTCTACTGACAGGAATATCCAATGCAGCTATCTAGTCGAAGCCTGCGGAGCAGGAGTGTTAAACTCAATGTACTAAGGGACACACTGAGAAAATATAATCACATCAAGAGCCAGACATAAACAGTTCATTTAAAAGCCGTTTTATTTTTGTATTTAAAAATGTCAACATATTTGATAATATTGTTAATGACACATCAGCCTTTGACATTTGCCCTGGTCCAAATAAAGCACAAAAAAGTCAATTCAAAAGTTGTGAATAGCCATCATAGCATTTCCTGAAGCTTAATAATTAGTTCTGACAACATGATACAAGCAGGCTAACAAGCAGCAAACAAGGCCGTGGTCCTTCTCTCTTTTTTTTTTTATGTCTTTATTAGGATCACCATTAGCACTAGCATGAGCATTGGCTATTCTTCCTGGGGTCCTCACACACACAAAACATACATAAACATATATACAACAAAATGAAAACAAAACAGCTCATAATTTCATGCAATTTACAGTGCTGTTTGAAGTGAAAACCAAAATGGTCATCCAATTATCGCCATCCTAAGGCCAAACAAAAGTAAATACAAATAAGTGTACATAATAATATATGCATACATAGCCACAGACACAGTTCAAATGTACTTTATAATACTTAAATAATTTTTTAGCAACCTTTTGAAATGTACTTGAGAATTTTCCTGAATGATGTGGACTCGTAAAGAGTTCCAGCTGACCATGGCTCTGTACATGACTGTTTTCTGTCCCATATTTGATTTAGATTTGGGTAATACAAACCTTCCTTCTATTGTATGTCGTGTTTGATAGTTATGTTGAGCATATTGCGCTATAAACCTTTGTGATAATATATGTGGTGAGTGAGTCACTGTAATATTTCTGACAAAATTTAACAAAAAATAAGTTGACCTCTGTCTGACAGTTAACCATTTCAGTGTCTCCAGCATGTTGAGTGACTCTGGTTCTGTAGGAGCACTGCAGTGCACATCGTGCTGCCTTATTTTGTGCTACTTGTAGTTTGTTTAAATCTTTTTCTGCAGCACTAGACCATATAACCAAACAATAATCAAGCTGCGACAGAACCAAAGCATCCAAAACTTGTCTACTGACATCCATTGGCAAATATTTTACAATTATTTTTACAAGTGACACACCCCTTCCCAATTTACATACAACATTATCAATTTGTTTAGACCAAGATAATTTATGATCCAGGGTTATACCTAGCAATTTTGTCTCCTTGACCTGTTCAATTTGAATATGGTTTAAATGTAGTTGCAATTTTGGTTCACCTTTTAACTGATGATTTGATCCTATTAATAAAGATTTTGTTTTTCCCGCATTAAGTACCAACTTATTATTTATGACCCACTCTGATATCAGTAGTAGATCTTTATTCATAACATTTGTCAACTCTCTTGTAGTTGATGCTGCATAATATATTGTTGAGTCATCTGCATACATTACAATTTTAGCTTTTTCTAACACTAATGGTAGGTCATTTGTAAAAATAGAAAATAAAAGTGGTCCCAAACAACTACCCTGAGGTACTCCACAAGTGACTGTTTTCATCTTTGAGAGACTTCCATTAAAAAAAACAGTTTGACTTCGATTTGTCAGGTAACTTTCTAACCACCTCAGCGTTTCAAAATTAAAACCATATTGTTCCAGCTTGTGTAACAACAAAGAATGGTCAATGACATCAAAAGCAGAACTAAAATCAAGTAGTACTGCACCCACTAACTTCCTATTATCCAGTTCGCCCTTCCAGTCATCTGTCATTTGTGTTAAAGCGGTGCATGTCGAATGGTCAGGCCTGTAAGCATGTTGATACACAGTATTAAGTGTGTTACCTTCAAAGTATTTTTGTATTTGATTGAAAATTATTCTTGACTTTCCCTTTTACCTACTTTGACTACTGTATGGCATTTAACCAAAGCCCATTCATTCCTACCAGGTTAAAAAAACTTAACATGGATAAGTAATACGTGAATTTTTGGGGAGTTATTCTCTGCCACGTATTCATTTGGTCCCCAATCCAGAACTCATTCTACGGACACGGCACATTCCCAACTGAAATTGAAAGCATTATAGTTTCTTTATATATTCATAAGTTTCCTTCTTCTTTTTTTTATCCACACAAACCACTCGTCATATCGGTCTAAACTACATCCATCCTTGATGATAACTTTACTCAGGATAAACATTTGGGCACATTTGGGTTGTTCATCTTACAAAATGTTTAAATTCAAGAAATCCCGTTCCAGATTCTACAAGTTTTGCAGCTGCTTAACAATAAAGTTATTCAGTTAAAGTCAGTATGTACCTGAAAAACATGAAGGGTTTCATGTCATTAGTGTTGAGTTAGAAAACATAGATTGATTCAGAAAAGAGAAGCGGACCAAGAGACAAAATATGTCTTGTTACTTTTTAAATATGAGGTATCCATCGACAAACATGAAGAAGCAGAACAAGGATACATCATTTGATTGCAAAAAAAACCTTTTATAGTCACTGATTTTTATGAATACTAAATTGGTTTATTTGTATGCTTTTGATTATGCTGTAAAAGACTACATTGAAGACACAATTTGTTTTCTAATATACAGTAGACTCCTTCAAGACAACATGCACAGAGACACACACTTTGAT